GTGCCTCAGCAGTCCTGAAATCATCTCACTCTTTTACCGCTTGTCTAACATAAGTAGGACCAACCAACCAGCTTCCTTATACTCTTCATGCTGACAAAATTGCAGAAAAGTATCAAATATGTGATCACCCAAAGCCTCACTTCTCAAAAATACTTGATCTGTTGGTGGTGCTATTTTGCATATTAATGTTGCCACCTCACACCACAGATTAGCAGGGCCCTCTTTACTAATGGAGGCAGAGTCACCAGTGCCTTTACGATTAATCAAATTGGAGAACCAAAACAGAATCGATGAGAATCAATTTAGGAAGCCCATCCTTATGATTTTGTCTCTCTAGAACCACTCTCAGTACCAAATGTGTTAGGCTGCATTCTCTAGAGAAGCAAAACCAGTAAAGCTTAGAGAGAGAGAGAGAAAGAGAAATTTATCTTTGAAAATGGCTCACACACTTATAGAAGCTGGCAAGTCCCAAGTTCTTAGATTAAACGTCAAGCTGGAGGCTTCCCCCAACTCACACAGCTGTAGGGGCTGATGAGATTAAGGTCGGCAGGCAGTATACCAGCTGTTGACTCCATCAAATGATGAATCTAAGATCTCCAGGCCGAACAGTGCATTGTTCACTCACGGACAGTTGCAGGCAGCACAACAGGATCCTGATTCACGGAAGAATGGCTCTTTTCCCCAGGATGTCCATAAATATATTAGAAGCAGGCCACACCCCTAGGGAAACTCCCTTTCAACCAACTGGCTGCTCAAAATATATACATCCAATTCCATCATGGGAATAACCCACATCCCAACTGCTTAAACCACTCAGAATTGTGGTCCGGCCAAATTGATACACAACTCCAACTATCACAATTTCTCTTTCTGGAGACTCTGTAAGAGAGTCCTACCTACATGACAGGGAGCTCTGGTAGCATAGTGGCTAAGGCACTTGACTGCTAACCAGAAGGCTGGCGGTTCAAACCCACCAGCCACTCCTCAGAAGGAAGGTTGGGCAATCCTACTTCTGTAGTGATACTGCCTCGGAAACCCAAGGAGGGGTCGCTGTGAGTCAGGGCTGACTCAACGGCACATAACAACAACAACAACCACCTACATGACAACTTTCATGCATGGGCTCTTCTTTGTTTAAATGTTGGAGTGTCAGAGGCCAGTGGACTTTGGTAATTTTAGGTATTCCTCTGGTAGCATAGTGGCTACGGCACTTGACTGCTAACCAGAAGGCTGGTGGTTCAAACCCACCAGCCACTCCTCGGAAGGAAGGTTGGGCAATCCTACTTCCGTAGTGATACTGCCTTGGAAACTCAAGGAGGGGTCGCTATGAGTCGGGGCCGACTCGACGGCACACAACAACAACAACAACAGGTATTCCTCTAAGCATCTACACTCATGCAGATAGCATTCATTGGACAAGTGATGTTAAAATGCCTTGCATTTTTAGAAGGACTTTGGTGTTACAGGTGAATCCTACAGCTAACTACCCTGGATGGGAATGGTCCTTTTTGCATGCCACTAACCAAAAGGTCAGCAGTTCAAACCCACTAGGTGCTCTACAGGAGAAAGATGAGGCAGTCTGCTTCCACGCAGATTCACAGCCTTGGAAACCCTATGGGCAATTCCACTCTGTATTATAGAGTTGCTATGAGTTGGAATTGACTCAATGGCCGTGAGTTTAGTCTGATTTTTTGCTTAATACCATGGTCAGGGACTATACAATTAGAACAGTCCATTCACAGTCCATCTACCACAATGGCCCAGATTGCTGGTGACATGGCCAATGGAATGGCTGCACAACAAAAATCATAATCTTTGGCAAAGGTAATACTGGACAATATAATAGCCTTGGATGTCCTTTTGGCACAACAAGTAGAGGTCTACACCACTGTTAACACCTCCTCTTGCTCTTGGATTAACACTACTGGAGAAACTGAAGGAGCTCTGGTGATGCAGTGGTTAGGGCATTCAGCTGCTAACCAAAAGGTTGGCAGTTTAAACCCAACAGCAGCTTGCTGGGAAAAAGATGAAGCAATTTGCTTCCACAAAGATATACAACCTTGGAAATCCTATGAGGTGGTTCTACTTTGTCCTGTTGGGTTGCTATGAGTCAGAACTGACTTGATGACAGTGGGTTTGGTTTTGGTTTTGAGAAAATGAACAAGATATTGCTAAGATACAGCAAAAAGCTATTTGGTTGCATTTATTCCCCTATTACTTCATCATTCTTTTTTGCTATCTTCAATTGGCTACTAAATAGTGCATGTTCTTGGTTGTAGCTTCTGTTGCAAACCAGGTTAAATATATTCACAATAATAATCATTATTATTGGAATTATAAAATGTGCTATATGATATACATCTACTATAGGGACTGAAAACTTCACTGCATCTCATGCTCAGAAGCTAATGTTTATCAGCACTGCATTCAGAGACCCCAAACTAGGGAAGCCTCATCACTTAGATTAGCCATATGAAAACAGGTCAGGCTGTACCTCCAATGAGGCAATACCCTATCCATTCCCCATACCTAGACCACCAAAGACAGCTGCTCAACAATAGCATAATGGACATATTGGAGCTGCTCAGCAACCAAGATACTGGTGGTCCACAACTAGGAGGAAAGGGGGCTTAAGGTTAAGCCACCCCTTGGGAGTAGCATATTGACAACTCTATGCAGAAGAGAATATGCCCATGAGTGTAATCAAAGGATGTTTTCAGAAATTCTTGATCAAAAAGAAGGAATGATGTGTGATATGAAATCAAAAAGGTTATCTGACCTAAGGTAAAATGGCTGAACTAATGCATAATTCACACAGATTTAAATCCTGTTGCTTAGGAACCAACTCTATAATTAATGTTTTCCTTTGTGGTCAGACTATGAACATGGATACTACACATCAGAGAGTCTGTAACCAACACCTTATCAAAACTCTTTGCTTCAGATCTCCCTAGATCATCTCTGGGTAAGGTAATTTTTAACCTGTTCTCGAAAATATCCATCATGTCATTCTCTTATGATCAGCTATGAAATCTCCTAAGACCACGTACCTTGTTACTATACCTTTTAGCCAATCAATGTATTCTAGATGTACTGATATAACCAATAATGTTAAAAATCACACTTCATTATGTCCTTTTAACTAACCTCAATTGTTGTAAACTAATCAGAATTTTGTATTTTGTAGTTCCTCATACAACACTATAATTATATATTTGTGACTCATCCCTTGGAGTCCTGGCTTCATTTGTTGAGGTTTCCACAATTCCCCATGCATATGATGTTCTGGCTGGTATACATCTCCTTGATTCTCCTTTGAGGGTTTCAAAGTCTTTTCTCTAAAGCAAAAGGCACACTTTTATTTTATCAAGGAATCATTCTGGAATTATCACACCTTCCTTTATAACCACAAGTTTGTGGGGGAAAAAAAATCAAGATTTTAAAAACTCTGGCTGAATTTCGCTTTTTGAAAATTAATACAGGTATGTGTGGCTAACATCCATGACACAGTCTGTGAAACTGGCGTAATGTGATTTGGACTCTGTGCCAACACATTAAAAACCCTATCGGAACCCACTTCCGTTCATGCTCATCACTCCTGCTGCTGCCCCACCGCTGGCGCCGCTCAGGAGACAGAGGAATTGGCAATGGCAGGAGCAGAGCAAGAGCAAGCCAGCAGGGAGGGAACCCAACACACTTTGTCCCACCCACTATTCCCCTAGCCCAAGTAGCAGGAGCAATCCCACCCAGAGAGGGCGCTCGCACCCAAAGCCCAAGAGCCTTCATCTAGCGCCCGGTCCTCTGCCTCACCTGCCTGTATACCACCACTACCCCAGGACTGCAAGAATCTGGGTTTGGAATTTTTAAACCCATTGAGGGTAAATAATACGCAAAAGGGGAGCTGCCTTCCCTTTAAAAAAAAGAAAGAAAGCCTCATGGAACTACGGATTTGCACGCTATTGGACAAGAATAAGCGACGCAAATCTCTATTTGCTTCCTAATCTACCCTCCCTTCTTGCTTCCACTTAACGAGAACTGACAGGAAGAGGGTGAAGTCCGACATTTGTTAACACAGACTCTCCACCAAGTTATTTAAAGAAGCACTCTGAAATACGGCCAAGGGTACATTAAAGTTAACTTCGGGTGCGAGAGGGTAGGAGAAAAAGGAGAGGCGAGCCGAGCGCCAGTTTGACCGCGCAAAGGGCCGGCCCCGCACCAGCGAGCGCTAGACCCCGGCCCGGCTTGGGGCGCAGGCGCTAGAGAGCTCGAGCCAGAGGCGGCCCGGAGAGTGGGGCGAGGATAGTCGAGGAGCCATGGAGCGAGGGCGCAGGAAGACGAGAAGGGCAAAGGGCGGGTACCAAGGGCAGCAGATGCTTCTCGAAAAGGCGGACGCTCTCCTCAGCGCCGCCTGAGGGGGTTGGCTGGGGCCGGGGTCCTATTGGCCACCGGGACTGTGTCTCGGAGGGTACCTGACTGCGGGCGGCCGGTCCACAGCCCCCTCCCGCCGTCCCGGCCGGAAAGCAGGCCGCTTCTCCGCGGAGCCGTGACCCTCGCCAGTGTCGCCCACATCGCACGCCTCTCAGATCCTCAGTCCCTGCGTGAGGGGAGAACACAGTGCGCGCGCGACACCCAAACGCTCGCCCGCAGCGCTCACCGGCTGGATGAGAGCGAGGGTGGGGACGGAGCGGGGAGGGGCGGGGCGGAGCCAGGGTGGGGCCGGATTTCAAGCCAACGGGAGAACATACGGTTAATTTGTGTTGACCAATAACCACCATACTTCAAAGATAACTACTTGGATTAAGTGTTTAGTCTTTATTTCTTTTCTTCTTCTTTCCGTCACTTAAATTCGTCCAATCTCCACCAACTTCACTGGCCCACTTACCCCGCCGTCCCATCCGGACAGTTTGTGATACCGGAACCAATGTGTTGCACTGCGCTGGCAGCAAGAGGACTATTTTGGTAAAGTACTACCAGTTTTCTGCGGAAGGTTCCTGCCGAGTTCCGGCGGGAGAACGCGGCAGTGGGGACTTTATCTTCAACTCCTGATATGCATCGACAGAATTTTCGACCCCCGACCCCTCCGTACCCCGGCTCCGGTGTTGGAGGTTGGGGAAGCGGGAGCAGCTTCTGGAGTACCCCGGGCGGGGGCGGACCACGGCCGCCCTCCCCTCGGGATGGTTATGGGAGTCCGCACCACACGCCGCCCTACGGGCCCCGGTCTAGGCCCTACGGGAGCAGCCACTCTCCACGACACGGCGGCAGCTTCCCGGGGGGCCGGTTCGGGTCCCCGTCCCCTGGCGGCTACCCTGGCTCCTACTCCAAGTCCCCTGCGGGGTCCCAGCAGCAATTCGGCTACTCCCCAGGGCAACAGCAGACCCACCCCCAGGTAATATTAATAGTCAACATTGGCTGAGCTCTGGGCTGTCTGGCAGGAACGGTAGTAATAATCCCTTCACGTGGATTATTTTCTTTAATCTTCGATGAGGTTAGGTACTATTGTTAGCCTTATTTTGCAGATGAGTAAACTGAGGCTTAGAGAAGTTAAGTAACTTTTGATTTCCTTACTAAAGCGTTTTTAACTTGTACATTCTGACTCTAGATAATGACTCTAATAATAAATATGGCCGGGTCTTGCTTTTAGCCAGGGCACTGAGAGTCATACACAGATTTCCTAATTCTCCTTTGCCAAGTGGGCCTTTCTAGTTCTCAGTAGCCTGGCTGCGAGGTAGGGAGTAGGAGGTGGATGGATCACTCATCTAGGATATAGGCTGGTGTCATTTTTTTTACTGCTGTCACCTTTTTTATTTGTTTGTCTTTTCTTTTTTCTAACTACACCAACTTTTGCTTTCCAAGTTTTCTCAAGAAAAAGTAAATAGGTGGTAGAAGTGGTTTATTCCTCTCAGTGAGAGAAAATACGGAGACAGCAGGAGTATTTCTGGTGTGTCTGGGCAGTACTGTGGTTTTCTAAGTGTGTGAATACTAAAGCAGCCCCACCCTTCTAAAGCTGAAGATAGGAAAAATTAAAAAATCATAGATAGAAAGAGTCTAGAAATTTTGAAGCCATAGGTTAAAAACAAGTTGCAATACTGTAATAAGAACATTGAACTAAAGGGAATGTGGACTTTACAATCAAACATGTTTGGGTTCAAGTCACAACTTTTAACCAGCATTGTATCCCCATGAGCCTTTAGCTGTTAAAAAAGTGCCAAGTATCTCTACTAAATGTTTTTTTAACTGATGATTTTTTTTCTAAAGGGTTCTCCAAGGACATCTACACCATTTGGATCAGGGCGTGGTAGAGAAAAGAGAATGTCTAATGAGGTGGAAAGTTATTTCAAGCCTTCAATGCTTGAAGACCCTTGGGCTGGCCTAGAACCAGTATCTGTAGTGGATATAAGCCAACAGTACAGCAATACTCAAACATTCACAGGCAAAAAAGGAAGATACTTTTGTTAACAATTCTGAATTCAGCTGGAAGCTTCATGTGTCAGGAACATTTTGGACAAATTGTTACTTTTGTTGATTAGGTTAAACCCTAAGATGATGAATTGGTAGGGTCTTGATATTTTTTATAATATCAAATATTGTTGGTATTAGAGAAGAAATATGGCAGGGTAATTTGCAGTATTTTGCTCTTTGGTGGTGCCTACCACAGTTTGGAAGATTCAGAGTTTCCATATATTTAAAACTTTTGATTATATAATGGACATTTGTCTTTTAATGTTTCTCTAACATTTTGAAATAAAACATTTTGCCTATCTATATTGTGGTTTTGTTGTATGCTAAAATTAGAATTATTAAAATAATGCTTTGTAAGCATAAGTCAATTGTCTTTTGAAGACTACTTTTTAAAAATGAAATAAACCATCCTTCGAGCTGTAGACAGCTTTTAAGTATTTGTTTCTAGGGAGAGAGGTCTGAAGGATGAAACAATGCTATATGATATATTCATTATAATCATTATTTTACTTGTTTTATCTAATACTTTTATAAAAGTGCACTGAAACTTGATTAAAAGTGACAGAAACCCACGTTAGCTTAAGTAAAAAGGGTATTTATATATTCATTTAACTGGACAGTGTAAGGATAGACCTATTTCAAACATAGCTAGATTGGGACGTGTCTCAATTTCTCTCTCTCTCAGGATGGTGTAGTCATTTTCTCCTGATGCCAAGGAAAGTAACTACTATTAGTCTCAAGTTCCCACCCATTGGAAAGAGAACAGATCCCAGTTCCACCAACCCCAGGGGAGACAGATTGACTATGCTTGGATCATATTTCTATATTCCTGAACCAATAACTAACCAAGAAAGTGGTGCTTACTTAGCTTGAATCACGAGCCTTTCCCCTGTGATAAGAGGGAGTCTGTAATTTTCAGCCCCACTAGGCCTACCTGGAATACAGAAATGGTTTTCTAAAAGAAGAGATCCCATATATGTGTGTATATGTGTGTATACACACACACACACACACACACACACGTATGTATTGGGAGCTCTGGTAGCATAGTGTCTAAGGCACTTGATTGCTAACCAGAAGGCTGGTGGTTCAAAACCACCAGCCGTTCCTCGGAAAGAAGGTTGGGCAATTAACTTCTGTAGTGATACCACCTCGGAAACCCAAGGAGGAGTGGCTATGAGTCGGACCGACTTGATGGCACATAACAACAACATGTATGTATATATCTATAGTAATGAAGAGAAAAGTACTAAAGGATTTTTTTCCCAATGTTTAAAACAAAATCAGGTCCTAAGACGTGATGGTTTTTTGGATGTTTTGAAGTCACAATATGATGAAAATGGAGGTAGTTAAGTTTTAAGTATTTCTAGAAATGTTGTTACCCAAAAATGAGAGTTACCACTTATTTGAGCCATACCCAGTTCTGTTTGTTAATTAGGGCTTTTGAAGACACAAGAAAATGAGAAGGGAAGGGTTTTGGGTGAATAAAAGCTCTGTGAGAGCCAGAAGTTTGGAAATTCTGTTTCTATCATTTACTAGTTGGATGAGTTATTTTACCTCTCTATGCCTCAGTTTTCTCATTTGTAAAATGAGGAAATTAATAGTACCTTTGTTCTAAAGGTGTTATATTTTGAATATTAAATAGGTTTATAGATGTGAAACTTGGGCCAGGGCCTGACACATTATTAAGCTCTCAATAAATGGTAGCAATTACTTTCTGTCTCTCTGTCTCCCCAACCCCCACCAGTATTCTCAGCTCTTAGAATAGTGCCTGGAAAATAGACATGTAGAAAAATATTTGGTGAATGCAGAAATTCTGATTATAATTAGTACATTATAAATAATATATCTACATACTCTCTTGTATATTAAAGAGGAAAGGTTTTATGTGAGTGTTCATACTTGGAAGACAAATTCCAATCCTCTAATGGTTTATGTACATTTATTTCACTATATAAGTGTAGTATTAAAAAAAAAACATGAAATTTCTTAACTAAGTTACCAACATCTATTTCCAGAGGTCTAGTTTTTCTGAGACCATTTTGTCCTCAAGGGCTACATTACTATATTGCTTTGGTTGGTAGCATATATAGTTAACCAGAGTTCTTGTCACTTTGATATTTTGGTTTATTTCTCTCAATAGCCTGGTTTTTTTTTTCAAATATGAACTTGAGTAAAAGGAATAAAATGAAAGTGATTGGTTTTTGTTGTTCCGGAATACACATTTTTCTTCCATAGGAATGTGAAATAATTTTGTTAGAAAAATTTATAGTTAAATATGAATCTTAAAAATTTAGAAGTATAATCTAGGGCAGAATGTTCAAGTGAGTATTCATATGCTGAGGAGTATTCAGCTTTCCAAAAGCTACTTAGGCATGGATACCTTTAAGGAATCCAGATCATCAATTCTCATATATACTCTTTGTTAAACTAATTTACCTAAGAACATAGGGGTCCTGTCATCTGTCCTCTCTTCCTTTTTCCCTTTCCAAATCACCCCTCTCCCAGTTGCCTTTTAAAAGAAACCTATGGCAGATTGTATTTATTAAAAGTGACAACAGTATTTCAGGTCCTAACATACTCTTGCAGAACTTTGCCGCTGTATCAAGATGTGGACTTCTGTCCCTTCTCCTTAACTCAACAGGATCTTTTTCACTGACCTGACCGAGCGAGTATTGTGGAAGTTAATGCTGCATTTTTGTTATGAGTGAAGTGTGGTGTTAGAAATTAGTTAATATTGGTTCATGTGGAAATACTCAGAATTTAAATGTGTTGTCCGTTGGGAAGATAGAGTGGTGACGGTTTTGTTTAATGACCTTGCCTTTTTTGTCTCCATACTATTGTCCAAAAAAAAATTCCCCTGAGAATCCTGTGAAAAGAAAGCAAAGAGCATGAACGTAACGTGAAGGGACGGGTACCTTATTTTTAGGCAACAAACACCTGGTAAGGTTCCTTGCCTCGTCTATCCTGAAATATTCAAGACTGGTATAAAAGCATAATGGGAATTAGGGAATTAGCTGTGAAACAAACTCTGTTATTTTCATTTTCAATAAGAATGAAAAGCTTGATAGTGTGTCTCAGTCCCTGTCTCAGTAACATAATTTGCATGATTTCAAGGAGGAAAAGTTCCATTTTTACTTCTGATAATCCTAACCCTAGCAATGTTTACTTCTGACATATTAAAAAAGTTCCATGTTGACTTATGTTAATATTTCAGAGGTAAGTTTATGGTTTCATACTTTCTGAAACATTTATTAAATTCCTAGGAGAGAAGTATTTTCATTAAAACTTTGCCAGTACATTATTAGATTCTATAAATCTATATTAACTTGTTATGTGGGCCTAATTGTCACACAGTCATTTCTCTGTTCTTTCCATTTCTTTCTTGTACTTAGATTTAAGTTAACAGAAATACATTGTGCACTTTAATTACACATAGTAGTTATTGTACCTTGTATAAGCTAAGATTCACCATTATTTTATATACCACTTGGGAAAATCTGCCAATTAAATTATGACAGGCCATCTATTATAAGATGCATCCCAGTTTCAGAGATGGCAAAATGTATGTCTTAGCTTGAAGAAATAACGTAAGTAGTACTCTTAAGATCGGGACATATCCTTACATGCAGGAATAAGGAGTAAATATTCCCAAATGTCAGCCACTCCTCGGAAGGAAGGTTGGGCAATCCTACTTCCGTAGTGATACTGCCTCGGAAACCCAAGGAGGGGTCGCTATGAGTCAGGGCTGACTCAACGGCACATAACAACAACAACAACATTCCCAAATGTAGTCTAGGATACAGTGCATTTAACTTTAGAAGATTACTCAGTAGGATTAATTTGTCCTTAGGTATTCTGTTCTAATTCTGTAAAAAAGCATAATAATATATTTTTAAATCATGAGGTAGAACTTTTATTCTACAACTAGGCCCCAAGTTAGGAAGGGGTTCCATTCCAACAACTCTTTCACAAGTCTGTCCTGATGTCAATCAAATACCTCTGTTTTTGTTTTGTTTTGTTTTCATTATTATAGCCTTTCATTATCAGTATCTTTATAAATTTGATTTTGAACATCTGCAAGCAAACATCTGAGAATAGTAAAATCAGCAAATTACATGTTATGACATTGTATGTAGTACATATTACTAACAATAAGGTATACCAAAACAAAACCCCAAACATGGTCATTCAGTGCAGTTTGTCATAACTCAAATACATAAGTCAGAGACTACTTCTGTTTATAATTACTATCACAAAAATGTATGTGGTTCAAACCCACCAGTCACTCCTGGGAAGGAAGATGGGGCAATCTACTTCCATAGTGATACTGCCTCGGAAACCCAAGGAGGGGTCGCTGTGAGTCGGGTCCGACTCAATGGCACATAACAACAACAACATCACAAAATGTGTGCAGTTTCCAATTTTATAGTGTTTTTACTCAATTTTATCTGATTTTACCTCCAAAACAAGGTGCTTTTAAGTGAAATAAGTTACAGATAAGTCTTTGTGAAATCTTTTGGTTAATTTCCTAAGAAATTGATAAGGAGAATGACTTGGACAACTAGTTCCTTTTCAATTCTAGTAGTTTTCAGCTCTTCCCTTTAGACAAAATTAACAGAAAATGCTCAAGTTATCAACTTAAAGATCATTCAAAATAATTTGTTAATAGATCAATTTGTGATTTTCACCATAAAACTTTGAAGGAGTCCAGGAATTGAGTTGTATTGCTATAACAAAATTATTTCTGTCCCCTTTTTACTATATATATGTATGAGGTTCCTCAGCACTTAATCTATATATAAAGTATAATAATAAAAGCATCAGGGCATATAGAAAAGTACAGCACCTTCCATCTCAAAAGATGTATTTTCAATAAAACTTTCATTCTGTCTTTAATAGTTATTGATTATGTTCTTTTCATCATTTGAATAATAATGATTCACAACAGGTTTTTAAACACTTGGAGATTTGTAATCACAGGAAATATATTTTATATAAAACATTTTATTCCAGTAAATAATGTTTTAATGCATTTTGAGAAACATAATGTAGAGTATCAGTAAAAGGTTTTAAAACATTGAAATACACTATATTGAGATAAAATTACATGAGGTGTAGCAGGAATATGAGTTGGGGCTAAAAGAAATAATGTAAAATTTCTTATTGAAGAAGAATTTGTTCATATTTTAAAGAAGTTATGGTGGATATCTAGTATCTAGAGTCTATTGGATACATTTAAAATAATGATGTAGTGATTTTAAACCTTAAAATACCAATATTTGCAATATTCCAGAA